GGTGAGCCTCCAAAGGGTCCTAGGGTGTGTTCCAGGACCCTTTTGAGACTCACCCTGCCCCCCGGGGTCAGAGGGGGTGAAATCGCCACCTTCTGGGACTCTTCTGAAGCTTCCCAAGCCTCAAAAGAGTTCCAGAAGGTGGTGATTTCGTCTGTGCTGGCCCCGTGGGGGGTGGGTAGGTGGAGCATCACAAAGGTCCTGGAAGGCTCACTCAGACCCTTGCGACACTCCCCCACCCCCACGGGGCCAGCGCGGGTGAAATCACCAGCTTCCAGGACCTTTTGTGAGGCTTGAAAGACTCAGAAAAGATCCTGGAAGCTGGCAATTTTGCCCTTGCTGTCCCCGTGGGGAGTGGGGGGAGCCCCGCAAGGGTCCTGGAAGGCTCACTCGGACCCTTGGGAGGCTTCCCCCCATGGGACCAGTGGGGGCGAAATCGCCACCTTCGCTCCATATGATGCACAGACTCCCCCCCACTTTTTTGGGGGGGAAGTGCGTCTTATGGAGCAAAAAATACGGTACAGTACTTTTTTTTCTCCAGTTGTCTTTCACCGCTGACTGAAACAGCGCTGCTCTCTTCTCCACATACTTTAAAACAGCTTTGTTTAACCGGAGAGCCCTCTAGTAATAATTTTACATCCAAGTCAAGTTGGAATTCCACAAAGCATCACTGCTTCAGAATGTTCCTTCAAACTCAATTGCAGCTCTGTTCTCTGGGCCAGAGAGATGGCTTACATATGTGCACAGCACAGAGGAAGAATTTTACATAACAAGAGGTCCAATTCAGTCCAAATTGCTTGTGGGAAGCATGGACGGCATGGACGTGACTATCATTTTTGTGTATAGACATTAAGGGCAAAGGTGGAGGGCTGTAATCACAACTGAAAATACAATGCGTGGGTAAATGCCAACTAAACACTGGTCTCTGAGAAAGCCATAGAGCAGACTGACCACAACAAGAAAAGAAAAGAAAAAAGAAAAAAGCCAGCCCCATCAGTCTAAGCTGACCACAACAAGAAAAGAAAAGAAAAGAAAAAAGCCAGCCCCATCAGTCTAACTAAATAACAGAGCAGTAACTGAAACCACTAACATGGTCCCTAGGGCTGAGGGAAAACCAGCTGCAGGAAGGATTTTAAAAACAAAGCAAAACTTGGCCTTATAGAACCACACTCAACCATGAAGAATTGAGTGATAGTTGCTTATCCCAAGTACACTGTGGTCCAAGAGAAGCATTTTGTCCCAAACTGGAGTTTCCCCTCACACTTGGACCATAAATCATCCTCATCCAAACGTTGTCTTGCTCTCACAAAACAGTTACACTCTGGTGAAGTACAAAACTGTATTGAATGCATAATGTGCCTTGTTTTCCAAAACTAGCCCACTGATCTGAGGTGTGGCAAGCAAAGATATCATCATAATCATCATCCTTATCACCATCATCATTTTATTTTAGGCTTTTCCCTACTGACTGTGGGTTCTGTGCTTTTCTTTTATTGAGATTTAAAACTGCTTTTAAGCCAAATTAAAGTGATGTTTTAGTTCAATTTGTTCAATTGTGCCTTACTGTATCTTCTGAACTGCCTCAACACCCAGGGAGATATAAATCAGGGGAGGGAGATATAAATCAGATAAATAAATAAAAATATTCCACTGCTGATATTCAATTGGCAATCCAGTCAGCTTCAGTATGTGGAAATTGGGGAAGGAGGTGCTATCCTGTTCTTTGCCTCATAATATCTTGAATGAATTCACAGTTTTCCTTATCTATGGAAAGCAGTCTAAACAGGAGTTTACAAATCCTTTACCACCACCTATTGGTAGCACATGGCATGTCTGTGCATCTCAGCACTTGCCTGCAATGCCAAATTTCAGCATGTTTGCTATGTACTTCAGCCATGTGTGCATTTCCACACACAGGAGAGTTGTCCTATTACTACAGTTTGCTAACCCAAATGCACTCCAGTGTCCCTTTCTTTCTTTCTTTCTTTCTTTCTTTCTTTCTTTCTTTCTTTCTTTCTTTCTTTCTTTCTTTCTTTCTTTCTTTCTTCCTTCCTTCCTTCCTTCCTTCCTTCCTTCCTTCCTTCCTTCCTTCCTTCCTTCCTTCCTTCCTTCCTTCCTTTCTTTCTACCTACCTACCTACCTACCTACCTACCTACCTACCTACCTACCTACCTACCTACCTACCTACCTAAACCTGGCAGTTTAAAGGTAAAAACGTTGTTAAGGCTAGAGGGCTTTGAAGAATGAGATAATGCAGGATGAAAAGAAATGGCTTGCTTTTCATTATATTGCATTTACTGTTTTATCTTTTACTTATACCTTTCTTTCCCCTGATTTTGATTTTGAAGAGGTGGGAATAAGTGAGAGATTGGCAGTATCTGACTGGTTCAAACTGCATTAAATATATCTGACTGAAATCCTTTCTTTGGCATCACTATTGCTTCTGGACAAACAGAAGTGAAGAAGTAAAAACAACAATGACAGACAATGACAGAAAGACAATGATAGAAAGAGAAAAGACTGTGGAAAACCTTAAAATCAAAATTAAATTAAAAAGGAATGTTTTCAAATTCTGGTAACAAGGCATACGGGTACATTGAAATCCAAACCCAGCAGATATGGTTGAATCAGTTCTGCATTCAAACAGAAAATTACATAAATATAATCTTGGAACTGGAGCGCTGGAAGGTGCCCTATGGATCATCAGCTCCTGTCAAGGAGGCACAGTGGGGAATTGAACTCTCAGCTTTTGGCTCCACAGCCAGATGCCTGTCATTGAGCTATTGCCCTGCAAACCCCATTCACAATGGAGCGAGGGGAAATAGAAGGTATACAGAATGCATACTGTACATAATCTTTATTTGCCGACAACTTTCTGAAAAACAGCATTGAGCCCATATTTCCTTTGTAAATTGTCCTCCTTCAGCTAACAGGAGCTTGCAATGTGGTAGGAGATTTGGACCAAAGGTGCAATGGCCTGGGAGAAATAGATCATATATATCCTTACTCCTTACTGCCACATCACTCCAAACAGAGTCCCTTCACAGCTGTTTTCAAATGTTGTCTAATTCTCTTATCTCCTGTGTAATGTGTAGTTTGGCCTTCAGTGTCTTTAGCCTGACAGATCTGTAGCACAGATCAGTACATGCCTGTTCTGAAGTAAATCACACTGGAGTGTGAGCACATTTAGCATTCTAGCCATAGTCTTCATCAAAGAGCTGTCATTGTATGACCCGTAAGCCAGTCAAACTGGATTTCTTAGATTTAAAACTTATACTTTCATTGTCACAGCTACTGCATTCCATCTGGAGTGTAGAAAAGGCATGGAATTAGGTCATCTCACACCCTGGTGCTTCCCAGCCTGATCTTGGGAAAGTTACATGGAAGGAACTACAACTCCCAGTATCCTCCAGCTCCCATAGCTAAGGTTTGCTGGTTATTCTAAATTATAGTCCCCACCCCACCCCCACAATCTTTTTTATTCCAGCTCCTGGTTAATTCAATTCCAAAATGGCTTTTCTAATTAGAAAAATAAATGGATACTCATACCCCATCCGCTTACCACACATATCTAATCTGCCTTGAGATCTTTATCTGAGGCCTTTTTAAGGAACACCTCTGCACATGAAAGGGTTTTCTCAATGGTGGAGCCCCAATTATGGACCACTCTTCACAAAGACTTGCCTATGTACTTTATCCTTCCAGTGTTAGCCAACAACTTCTGTTATTTTGCAAGACTTTTCTACCTTGCTGTAGCAGTTACTTTGGCCTATCTTTTTATTCTTCTCTTTATTTTTTTTAACATGGAGTTGTTGTATGATAATATTTTGCATTTTTCAGTATTGTTTCTTTTTTATTGTTGTATTTTATTATTTTGTGAGACACTCTGAGAACATTGGTTACATGGTGGTCTCTACATAATGCATACGAATAATCATAAACAGATCTTGAAAATGTTGCATTAGTATCAACATATTAATGTTAGATCATTAAAGACACATGTTTTCTTACCACTCATTCCATTTTTAACTTAATATGTTTTGACATATAAAGCCCTAAACGGCTTGGGCCCTGGGTATCTGAAGGACCACCTCCTTCCATATGAACCTACCTGGCAGTTAAGATCTAACCTTATAGGACTTCTACAACTTATGTTGAATCAAGCCTGGTCCACGGCATATGTGAGAATGTACAGAACATTCACAAAATTCTGCGTTCTCACTGATATGGGCTGATTCACTTGATAAGACACATCAATGAAGAATTTGCAAAGCACACCACATGCCTGAGCTCCAGAAAACAGCAAGACAAGCAGAACTATTTCTCCTCAATAAAAAAAAAAGGTCTCCATTATCTGTGCAGCCTGTCTCTGCTTAAAGCTGGTCTCCTCTCCCTTTGAGAAACAAACAACATACAGAAGGCACAGAACAACTGGCTAATTGTTTTTTAAAAACAACAACAGACAACCTCTCCAGTGGTTTTAATCTCAAAAAAATGTAAACAACCAAATAAATAAATAAAAGCTTATGTGGCAAAGCCACAGCAGTTGTTGATTTGCAGAGTTGACATCGATGGCTAGAGTCCAGTCGTAAGTTGCAACTAGAGTAGGTCCACTGATTCAGTGAAATTTACAAAGGAATTGGCTCACTAAATTCCCACTGATTCAGTGGGCCTACTCTAGCTGTGACTTACAATTGAATTTCAGCCCATGCATTGTTTGTGCAGTTTTGCTTAATTTGCAGAAAGAACATCTTGTCTTGTCAAAAGCACCATCAAATATGGCCAAGGCCTAAGGTGAATCATTCTGTGGTTCTTCATCCTCTCATGCGAGACTGACACAAGTAAAGACTTGGATCCCTGCTTATACGGCTATGAGAGTGCAGTGCCTGCCCTGAGTGCTATTCTTTCTTTCCCTTAGGGAGAACAAGGACCAAGGGGACCTCCAGGACCTCCAGGGCAAAGGGGAATTGGAATACCTGGCCCTAAGGTGAGTGCCTTGAAGCTCCTCCTTGTTCTATAGATGGGCATTTTAGATATAGACACTTAAAATCTAGAACAGCTAGCTAAGTAAGTGAGACTCCTGCCTCTTACTTATTTGCCACGTCTGACTTGACAGCAAGCAACTCAAGTCCCCATCTCTGGCAAACAATGTCCATGTTTACCTCTAAGTGACCCCAGGCAATTGCAAAACAAAACAAGCTAATTTGCTAGGCAAAGGAGATGAGAAAAGGTGCCATTAAAACAACTGGCTATCTTTCAACTTCTTAATGAAGTCCTGTTTTTAAATTCTCCCTATCTGGGTTGCTAGGCTGACCCTCAAAATTAACTTCCGGATCACGTATTTGTGCACTGGATTTTGTTCATTTTAGGTTCTAGAAATGAATAGTGATCAGACTTTCCACACAAAAAGACACTAATTTATCCCAAGTGTTCTTTATTTCAGCAATGTAGTTTGGGGTCTTAGAGATTCATTTTGCTACTACCATGGTTTTGAAAAATTCAGATTCCTCTATCTTTTTTTTAATGTATTGAAAAATCACTCGGAAAACTGCCAACAGCTCATGATACATCTTCTGCCTTGCTGTATGGAACTGCATTGTAAATTAAAAATGTGCAAGGATAAAAGTTTTAAATACTTTTAATACTTTCCAGTATTTATACACGGGAAGAGAAAGAGTCTTCTTCCTGGAGACAATTTGTGTTCTTTATTTGCCTCTCTCCGATATATATATATTTTAACCTCTGGCATTTTAAAAATAGGGTGTTATGGGACAAAAAGGTTTGCCTGGTCCGCAGGGCCTCCCAGGAGAAAGTATACAAGGAAGTAAGGTAAGAATATGAATGCTGAGGAAGGCTTTTCCATTGCAGCTCGTAAGTGTTATACTTTAGTCATTTTTCATACATGGAAAAAAACAACTTTCCAGAGAGCCATATTTAGAGTAACTGTATGTGACTATGTTCAGTTTTCTTTTACTTCAATACATACGCAAGCCGAGCTTCCACTAACAAGCACATTGTCCCTGGAAAACGGAGCAGGTTAAAAACACACCCTTCACATTTGATGTGCAGCACATATATTTTTGATCTCTCTAACAGTTGTGCATAAGTGGGAAGCAAGAGCTGAAACTGCCTCTGTAGATGAATCCAACAGCAGTGACTGCAATACGATTGTAGAAGGATACAGATTTTAAGAAAGTGAGCATGTGATCAGACAGGGAAGTAGGATCTCATTGAATTGCACTGAAACAGGTTGCTTCACTGGGTGCAATCTCATTTGAAGAGACACTTTTGTGCAGGGCCAGGCTTTTTTGCCAGGCTTTTGCCAGGCTTTTTTGCGCCCTAGGCAAGGCTAACTGCTTGCACTCCACCCCAACCAATGTTCAAAAACAGACAAATTGTAGTTGCATTTTTTCCAAGAAATTAGTCTGTATAAAACTGTGCCTGTCTCAGGTCAGTTCTGGGCTTCTCTGAGTTAAGTTCTGTGCCCCTCTCAGGTCTGTGCTCTAGTTGGTTGCCTAGTTCACCTAGTTGTAATTCTGGCCCTGCTTCTGTATACAGTGGTGCCCCGCTTGACGATGAAATCGCTCGACGACAAGTTTTTTGCGATTGCTATAGCGATCACAAAACGATGGTTCCTATGGTTTTTTTTTTTGCTTTACGTCAATTAGGTGCCTGCTTCGCGAACTGTTTGTTCGCAAAACAATGTTTTTTCCGGCTCCGCAAAATGGCTTCCTTTTGCAAAATGGCTGTTTTCTGGACAGAAGCTTCAGAAGACAGCGATTTTAAACAGCTGATCGGTGGTTCTCTGTGGGCGATCTTCACTGGACGATGAGGTATTTCCCCATTGGAACGCATTAAATGGTTTTCAATGCATTCCAATGGTTTTTTTTTGCTTAACGATTTTCCTGGAACGGATTATCGTCGTCAAGCGGGGCACCACTGTACACACAATCCAGTTCCCATTGCTTCAGCTCAGCTTCAAAAAAATGAGGAAATGAAAAAAGCCCTGTCTCTGAACTAAAAAGGCTCAGATAGTCATGAAACAGGATCAGCTGGTTCATAATTTCCTGTACGTCATGTAGAAAATAGATCAAGACTGTCCATGCCAAAAGCATACCAGAGCACGAGATGAATCACCTTCTGGTCACATCCCATGTGTGTTTGCTCTGTGCTCTCTAGTTCAAATGCTACCAGTCTTCATGTGGCCAAATAGGCACCAGAACTGCAGCATTTGTTACACACACGTAAAGCTTCAAGGCTCAGCAATTTTGCGAGTTTACAACTGCAGAAAAGAAAATTATTTCCTTTTGTTTGCAACTCTCTTTCATGGTAAGAACATCTGTGTATCAGTTCTCCAGGCCATCCAATTAAACATTACTGTTTGAAAATGCTTCTAGCAGCTTAAGCTTCCATGCTGAACCATGATGAGGGATTTTTGGCTGTAGTTAAATTAAGTTTTGTGTGCAAATGACAGCAAGACTTGCATTAAAAGGGATAAGATGGCTTGCTAAATGTGTGTCATGGGGTTAATGTTCTGCTTATTTCCTCCTCCCCCCTGCACATTTAGTAAGAAGCATAGTTTGGATACATGCTTTTTAAAATTATAAATCCCAGAATTCTCCCAGCCAGCTTGGCTACTGACCATACTGCATTGGAGATTCTGGGAATTGTTGTCCAAAAAAAAGGAATGTTTTCAAAATCTGGTAAGAATGCATATTCAATACATACACAAGCTGAGCTTATATGGAAATCCAAACTCAGCAGACATGGTTGAATCAGTTTTGCATTCAAACAGAAAATTATCTAATTGCCTAAACAACAGAGCTATCTTTCATCTAAAAAAAGGTTGTTGGTTTTCCTATGGCTGCCATCTGTTACAGGGCAAGGCATCTTTTCCAAAGCTGAACATTAAGGTAATCTCCATATTATTTGCAGGGAGAGTCTGGAATTCAAGGCTTACCCGGACCAAAAGGCTCCATAGGAATTGGGCTGCCGGGCCCTAAGGTAAGAAATTTGCTCATTTACAATAAAAACACTTGCTCAAATATGTATTGGATGCCTCAAGATAAAGCTAGGGAACATCTGATGTTCAGATATTTTGGACTTTAAAAGCCATATTCCACAACCAGCACAGTCAATGGAAAAGAAATCGGGGAGTTAGAGTTAAAAAAACAAACCCAGGACAAAAATTTGTTCTTTACCTTGTGTTTTAAGATGTATTAGGTGCTTCCGTCTAGTTACAGTGTCTGCCTTGTTTATCAGATTTAATAGGGTGTGCCAATAATGACATTGTCTACATGTAGTCCTCCTCCCCCCCCCCCAACTCCTTCTTCCTTCTTGTTCCTTGGCACAAAATAATGTGTCAAACTCCAAAATAAATCTGAAGAAGTTTTTAGTTCTGCTCCCAGTCTGGAAGCAACCCTTGCTCACATGCACTGATTACACTCTTCCATGGATCCTAAAGAATAAGTATTTGGAAGATTCGCAGGAAGATTTTAAACTCAGTTTTATACTACAAAAAGTCAAGCCTTTTTTTTACAGTTCTATCCTGTTCTGTAGACCTTTTTGTGGGAAAAGGTTAAAACCAGTTACTACTTGGTGAACATGTGTACTTTTCTCCCTTTAAAAAGAAAGGCCCACGTTCTCTAAACATTTTCCCCTACCATCATATTTCCCAGGTCACAGTGCCGACAATTCTCCTTTGGGAATATTGGCTAGAGTCCTATTGAAAAATTACACCAGAGTAAGTCCATTGGTGTAAATTTCAGCTGTAAAACCCACCAAGGCACTACCTGCCACATGCCAGGTCATGTGGTGAGTGTGTGACAGCAAATGCCTCCGTTGGCTTCTTAACCATTGGCAATTTACATTGATGGGCTTACATCCTATAGATGACACAATGCTCACAATATTGTGTTAGGATGAAGACCCAGTCAGGACAGCTGGTGGTGAAGGCTTCTGGGAGTTGCAGTCCAAAACTCCTGAGTAACCCAAGGTTAAGAACCAGTGCTATAGATGACAGAATGCTCACAATATTGTGTTAGGATGAAGAGAAGTCCCTTCTGAAGAACGATGGAACTTAGGCCATATTCAAAGAGAGAACACTTTTATAGCCTGTTACTGACTTATTCTTATAGGAAACAAATAGATAAGAATAATGTATTTCCTGTAGTACAGTAGTCTGTGCAGAACGGCCTTCAGGAATCATAAGACCATATAATATGAATGATTCTGTACTGTTTACTTGATCTAGGTGGAACCGGTTTTGTGCAACAGAGCAGATTTCTTCCCCCAAACGCATTTGAATACTTTACATTGAAAACAATTCAAAGAGGCATCTTCTGATGATAGATTCATGCAAAACAATAACCATACCGTTTTCTCGCTAGGGAAATTATGGAGAAAAAGGAGAACAGGGAAAAAGAGGTAACAAAGGAGAGATTGGAGAACCAGGACCTCCAGGACCAAGGGTACAGTTTAACATGCTTTATTTATTTCTGGACAACAGAAGATATTGTATTTCATAATTTATGTCACTGTTTTGCCTTCCAGGGATTTTCAGGAGTCAAAGGAGAGCCTGGCCTGACTGTAAGTACATTTCTATATTTGGCAATTTATTACCAAATTTATAACACATAGAAGAACCCAAAAAAATAGGGGCTGTATTACAGTCCACATCATCCCCAGCCACCCTGTCCAAAAGGCAGTGATGCTAGGAGTTTGGCATGATTTGGGAAGTCAAAGTCAGAAGACATTGCTTTAGGTATTACTCTGAACACAAGCAGGGAAAAAATGGACTTCTTCTTGCTAGATTTTTACACTTGCATATGTTAGTTTGCCATAATTTCTGAAACACCTCATGTGTGTTCAGACTACACATGTGGCCACACTCCTCACCTGTTGGTGGCCACACTCCTCACCTGTTGAGAAATACTCTCTTTTGGACATTACACCAAATGTCTATAATATGTGGCTTCAGCAGGTATAAGCCAACAGAATTCTGCTACATCCTTTAAACATATTCACTGTAACATCCAAATAGTGCTGTACATGTTTTATTATTATTTCCAGTAACAATAGTCTTTCCAGATATCACATGATTCACTTTATTCAGAGAAAACATACAGTCAACAAACCAAGCATGCAGTGAACTATAATATATTAAAATTGTATTTTAAGCACATTATTACTGGAAGCTATGATTTTTTTAAAAAAAAAATGCTACATTTCCAAATCTGAAATGGATACTCTCTTTCAGAAAGAAGAAGTAATCAAACTCATAATGGAGATATGTGGTAAGATCTGTCTTTAAAAAGGAAATATTTTTATTGAAAAAATTGCTGTCACTGAAACAGTTAAGAAAAATAGATGTTAGTTTGTGTCATGGGTAAAGTCCTAAGGTCCACAGAGTATCCAACAGGGTCATTGTGTCAGCACAATGTCTGTTATATGAGCAGATGGCAATTACCTTTAAAAAATGTTTAAGTATTTTCTTTGTTTTAATAATAAACAATAATACAAAAATATTAAGACAAAAAAGAAAGAGAAAAATACCTCATTACAAAAACATAACTTTCAATTCAAATAAATTCTCCACTGCCCTTGGTTTTTTATAAAAAAATTAATTTGCATACTCCATTTCTCTCCAAAAATATAATTCTTGTCTTGCGGTATGACCGTTCCCTTTCCAAATGCATATACTAAATTTTCCCCCTGTATCTCCCTAAAATAACTTCCTTTCAATATTCCTTTTCTAACTTTCAATTCACACATTAATTTATGATTGATAGCCATATTCCATACTTCTTTATACCAATCTTTCATATTTATTTATTTATTTATTTAACTTATATACCGCCCACACTACCTGAAGGTCTCTGGGCGGCTTGCAGCATTTAAAATGCAATAAAAAGGTAAAATAAAAGGGCAAAATATTAAACTAATTGTTATTCTTCCAATTCCTTGCGAATATCAATCTTGCAACTATTACCATACCAAGAAAGTAGGAAAAACCACTGGGCTAGTCAGGTATAATCTAAACCAAATCCCTTATGAATACACAGTGGAAGTGAAGAACAGATTTAAGGAACTCGATTTCATGTACAGAGTGCCTGAAGAACTATGGATAGAGGCTCGTAACATTGTACAGGAAGCAGCAACAAAAACCATCCCAAAGAAAAGGAAATGAAAGAAAGCAAGGTGGCTGTCCAACAAGGCCTTACAAATAGCAAAGAAGAGAAGGGAAACAAAATGCAAGGAAGATAGGGAAAGATAGAGAAAATTGAATGCTAACTTCCAAACAATAGCAAGGAGAGACAAGAGGGCCTTCTTAAATGAACAGTGCAAAGACATAGAAGAAAATAATAGAGAGGGAAAAACCAGAGATCTTTTCAAGAAAATCGGAGATATTAAAGGAACATTTTGTGCAAAGATGAACATGATAAAGGACAAAAATGGTAGGGACCTCACAGAAACAGAAGACATCAAGAAGAGGTGGCAAGAATACACAGAGGAATTATATCAGAAAGATTTAGATATCCCGGACAACCCAGATAATGTGGTTGCTGACCTTGAGCCAGACACGCTGTAGAGCAAGTCAAGTGGGCCTGACAAAGCATAGCTAACAACAAGGCCAGTGGAGGTGATGGCATTCCAGCTGAACTATTTAAAATCTTAAAATATGACGCTGTTAAAGTGCTACACTCAATATGTCAGCAAGTTTGGAAAACTCAGCAGTGGCCAGAGGATTAGAAAAGATCAGTCTACATCCCAATCCCAAAGAAGGGCAGTGCCAAAGAATGCTCCAACTACTGTACAATTGCACTCATTTCACACACTAGCACGATTATGCTCAAAATCCTACAAGGTAGGCTTCAGCAGGATGTGGACCAAGAACTCCCAGAAGTACAAGCTGGATTTCAAAGGGGCAGAGGAACTCGAGACCAAATTGCTAACATGCACAGGATTATGGAGAAAGCCAGAGAGTTCCAGAAAAACATCTACTTCTGCTTCATTGACTGCGTAAAAGCCTTTGACTGTGTGGACCTCAGCAAACTAAAGTTCTTAAAGAAATGGGAGTGCCTGACCACTTTATCTATATTCTGAGATCTATATGTGGGACAGGAAGCAACAGTTAGAACTGGATATGGAGCAACTGATTGGTTCAAAATTTGGAAAGGAGTACAACATGGCTGTATATTGTCTCCCTGCTTATTTAGCTTATATGCAGATTACATCATGCGAAAGGCTGGACCGGATGAATCCCAAACCGGAATTAAGATTGCTGGAAGAAATATCAACAGCCTCAGATATGCCGATGATACCACTCGGATGGTAGAAAGTGAGGAGGAATTAAGGAACCTTGTAATGAGGGTGAAAGAGGAGAGTGCCAAAAATGGTCAAGCTCGACATCAAAAAAACTAAGATAATGGCCATTGGACCCATCACCTCCTGGCAAATCGAAGGGGAAGATATGGAGGCAATGACAGATTTTACTTTCTTGCGTTCCATGATCACTGCAGATGGAGACAGCAGCCACGAAATTAAAAGACGCCTGCTTCTTGGGATGAAAGTGATGACAAACCTAGACAGCATCTTAAAAAGCAGAGACATCACCTTGCCGACAAAGGTCTGCATAGTCAAAGCTATGTTTTTCCAGTAGTGATGTATGGAAGTGAGAGCTGGACCATAAACAAGGCAGACCGCCGGAGAATTGATGCTTGTGAATTGTGGTGCTGGAGGAGGCTCTTGAGAGTCCCCTGGACTGCAAAGAGAACAAACCTATCCATTCTAAAGGAAATCAACCCTGAGTGCTCACTGGAAGGACAGATCCTGAAGCTCAGGCTCCAGTACTTTGGCCATCTCATGAGAAGACTCCCTGGAAAAGACCCTGCTGTTGGGAAAGTGTTAAGGCAAGAGGAGAAGGGGACGACAGAAGATGAGATGGCTGGACAGTGTCATTGAAGCTACCAACATGAATTTGACCCATCTCTGGGCGACAGTGGAAGACAGGAGGGCCTGGCGTACTCTGGTCCATGGGGTCGCGAACAGTCGGACGCGACTTAACGACTAAAGAACAACAAAGCAGCACGTTGGGCTCAAGCACATGAGTGGAGGGTCGAGGTTTGCTAGTACTGCCCCAAAACAACTTGACTGAAGGGCTTGCAGTTTAAGAAGATGGCCCCATACCACATGCAGACCCCTAATTCCACTCTCTTCACACTTCAAGCACAACATTGTAAACTAGTTGTTGCAAGAGTGTGTGTGGAATCTTTCATGCAGATACCTTTGCATCCCACACATTATCATCATTTTTATGATTTGGCACTTTGTGCACTATATGCAGTTTACTGCATGACTAATTATACAGGCCCACCTTCATCAAAGACGGCTGACTAATGAATAGATCTGAGACTCTTTCTCATTTGTCAGGAAGAGGGAGGTTATAAGGTTTCCTGTGTGTTGCTTAGTTATACGTTGCCCTGTTTTGTGCTCTTGCCTCCAGCTCAGAGAGTGAAATATGTGGGAAACTCTGAACGATAGCTCGAGTAGACTTGGTGTGTTCCTTTATGTATGCATTTCTGGGCATTGTGGGGAATAGCACAAAAAAGCAAAAATAGCCCCAAACATGCATGAAATCACTCTTAGGAGAATCATTCTTTTAAATATTGATGTTATTCTAAATAGCCTTGCCATGTTGTTCCACTTGGGCTGCCATCCAATATGCCATGAGTACAAAATATTTCCTTCCTTTAAGCTTGTACTAGGTCACTTGTTCCCAGTGGGGTGTAGTGGATAAAGTGAGGGTCTAAGCACTCAGGAGACCTGGGTTTGAATCCTCGCTTGGCCATGGAAGCTCCCTTGGGACAGTGGTACTATTGGTAAAACCACTCCTTAAATCTCTGACTTACCTTGAAAACCCTTTTAGGGTCAGTATAAGTCGGATGCGACTTGATGGCACACAACACACACACACACATACACACATGCACACACACACACACCCTAGGTCATGTATGCACTGAAAAAATAAGGAATACATAACCAAAAAAGAGGAGGGGGAAAAGGTACCATTTTAAATATAAATTACTATATGCAATTATGAGGTAAGCAGGCAATTTAATTATAAGAGCATAGAAAGTCCTCTCTTCTCTCTCTCTCTGATTACCAGAATTACTGGCTAAGAGCAGTAGTCCAAAAGTTAGTAGTTTAGTAGTTTCTAACCTCAGATTATTACAGTACAGTGGTGCCTCGCTTAACGACGGTAATCCGTTCCAGGAAAATCACTGTTAAGTGAAAACATCGTAAAGCGAAATTAAAAAACCCATTGAAACGCATTGAAAACCGTTCAATGCGTTCCAATGGGATAAAAACTTACCATCCAGTGAAGATCCCCCATATGGCAGCCATTTTCGGTACCTGTATAGTGAGGAATCCGTCCCTAAGCACAACGGGGAGCCATTTTAAGCACCCGGTGGCCATTTTGAGAACCTGACGATCAGCTGTTTTTGATCGTTGTAACGTGATAATCGGTTCCCGAAGCAGGGAACCGATCATCGCTAAGCAAAATTCCCCCATTTAGACCATCATTTTGCGATCGCAATTGCGATTGCAAAAACATCGTCGTAAAGCGGATTCATCATAATGCGTGGCAATCGTTAAGCGAGGCACCACTGTAATTGAAATTCAGTGTACTTGTTGCTCCTATACTTGCCCTGTTATTGCTGCCACCGAAATGGCACCTCATGTTTCTGCTTTCCTTTCCTTTGTTCCCTTGCTTCTATCCTTCCTTCCTTAAGACCATACAGCTCTGGGTCAGCCATCTATGCCATAGAAAGCCACTGCAGTTGCTACTAAAATTTGGAGTGAACTCCATTGTTGGCAAATCTGTGGTGCAGTCCCCGGTGGGATCTGAGTGAGTCCAGTGCAGCCCTCCAATCCTCTGAAATTCCACCTTAACCCTAAACATTTGGAAGAACCTTTCAGACTGTTGGAGAATACCCACCCAGAGGCACTGGAACAACATTGACTGTGGATTTCAGTACTTTGAGACTTGAAGTGATCATCTGAGCACACTTTTCCCTTTCTAAAGGAATTATGTTCGTGCTTGTGTTTATTCAAGAAATACCGTTGAGACAGGAAAGGTAATAGAAGTCCTAGTTCTAGCTCACTAAGTTGGAAAGGTCAGGAACTGTGGCTGCCCCTTTCATCTTTAGAAAACATAGGCAAGATGTCTCCTCAGCGGGACAAGAGAAGGGTATGTGAAGGAAGTGACACCAGCAACCCTACAAACCATAATCTAAGGCCAAAGGAAGATCAGAATAGATCACAGCAGGTAAAGGGCAATCTAGGAAACATGAGGACATCCACTCTCTCTGGTCTTCCCAATTCAAAGACATGCATCTTCTTAAGCATAAGCTGAGTGGTATCCAGTCACTTCCAGCACAGAGAAACTGGACTAGGGAGCTGGCATCATAAGAGAAGGTAGACAAACTTCCCATAAGGAATTGGGAATGGGAAGCACATTGTGGTGCATGTGAAGTCCTTTCTGTAAAACTCCCTCCCATTTTCTTTCAGGTTGTGGTGTTAAATGCAAAGAAAATCCTTTGGAACTCGTATTTGTAATTGACAGCTCTGAAAGCGTTGGGCCTGAGAATTTTGATAGGATCAAAAGGTTTGTGAAAACAGTGATCGATGCTGTCACAGTTAGCCAGGCGACTGCCCGTGTGGGCATCATCAACTTCAGTCTCCGAGTAGAGCTGGTGTCCACTTTGCAGCAGTTCTCTAACAAAGAAAGCTTGAAAGGTGCCATTGATGCTATGCAGTACCTTGGGGAAGGCACGTACACTGCTACAGCGATCAACGAAGCCGTCCAGATATTCAGGTCTGCCCGAACAGGGGTTAGAAAAGTGGCTATTGTAATAACAGATGGGCAAGCAGACCGTCGTGATCCCTATACATTGGAAGTTGTAGTGAAGGAGGCCCATGGCCTCAACATAGAAATGTTCGTAATCGGGGTGGTTCAGAAGACGGATCCTAATTTTGAGAATTTTCGGAAAGAAATGGATGTCATTGCTACAGACCCAGACAGTGAGCACGTCTACCAGATAGATGATTTCATGACTCTGCAAGGTAAGATTAAGCTGCCTCTCTCATGTTCTCTCTGTTTCTAATTTTCTGGAATATTAATATTAAAGAAATAATGTAAATAGTCATCTAATCTTTTGCATGAATCTAAATTACACTGTAATATTTGTACGTGTACATCTATTTAGTATACTATGACTATGAAGTTATGAAATTATTTCATTGCAGATAGGCGGGATATAAATAAAATAAATAAATAAATATTATGATATAACTAGTAGGATACTGTATATTACTTAGTTGTTTTCTCAGGATATCCCTACGGCCAGATCACTCAGCAGAGTCAACTCACAGGAAATCTACTAGCCTCTAGGAAATCTTGGGGAGAATTCCTGAAAGAGTGCATGAATTGGAAATGCTGAATCTGTGAAGGAACTGGCAATTCATGCACAGGAAGGACCAAATCCTGTACAAGAATTGCCAAATTCTGCACAGGATTCAGAAATTCTTATGCAGGAATAATGAATTCTTGTACAGGGTTTGGATTGCAAGAAACAAAAAGGGGAAATAAATAAAAACCTTGTTGTAGGGATGTTGAGAAATCCTATCTGGCCAAGGAAAGTCTTGTTATGATTTCTCTGCATGATGCAATGAAAAAGAATTGCAGAGAACACAACATTTAATAATTATTTGTCACATTCCTCAGTATCAGAAGTCCAAGGGGTAGTAGAAAATGAGTGCTGGGTGGCTTCTGGACCTTTCACAGTTGACATAGCTGGGTTCACCACTGAACTCAATAAACTAAATGTATGTCTTCACATAATGCAGTTTCTTCTGTAACTATCAAAATTACTTTTATAAATATCTGTCCTTACATATAAAACTAGCCCTTCCCCTACGTTTCTGTGTACACATTCTAATGTAACAGTTATGTCATCCTGTGATTATTTCAGCTCTCGAGGATAAGATCTTCAAACAAATTTGTGAGGATGATTTCAGCTCCTATATCAGCCACGTGCTTAGTTCAGCCCTTTCTCCTGGATCTGAAAGAAGAATAGAACATACAGGCCAGTTTGAAGTAGTTGCAACTCCAAAGCCAGAATCTGAACCAGACTTGATTGATCCTGTAAGTATTCCTGAAAAATGACATTTTAATGAGAAGGGGAGACCCATAGCAAAGTGGTTGAGCACAGCTTACTTAGTTGTACCACTGAGATGTTGCCTTATTTTTCTGATAGTTACACCATCCTGGGATGCCCAGTGAGAGAGCAGGACCACACCCTGACTGGGATCGCTTTGTTACTACAGCTCCTTCTAAGCATATCCCTGATAGTCGCAGACGACCAGTGATCCCTCCGGCTTATGGTAGACGAGAGTCTTTGGAATCCAGCACTTCCATTCCAGAGACGTCTTTTGCATCTAATTTAACTAGGCATGCACCACCAGACCTACAAGTTGTAGATACTCATAGAACAATGGATGTTGCCACAGGTATGAATGGGTTCTAATGCTAGGAGGAAAGACAGAAAGAGTTTTGAGTTTCTGTAGATCTAAAACTGATTCCTAAAATGTCAGATATTTGGGTAAAAGGGTATATCAGCTTCTGCTATATGTATATCTAAAACTGTAGTATGCAGGTGATAAAGAAAATACATTTGTTGTAGTAACGAAAGACATGCTATGTTGAGCCTGGAAGCAGTATTTATCCTATGGACAGGTGGTTTGTAGCATTTAGATGTTTAAAAGAAAAATAACTTATGAATTTTAGTTACTTTTGAGAAATAGGAAAGTAAATTGTTACTTTAAAATTTTCTACTGTGGTAATAATTAACTACTTCTTGGAGATAAGAACTATGTGCTATGTAATTTTCAGCACATACTCTGGTCTTCAGTGTAGACAGGAAGAGACCATCTTGAGCTAACACTGATATCCATACGTACACATATACTGTACTAAGAACTGTGGAAATCTGCAAGTGTGGATTCAGACAAATTTATGTATATCATTGACTGCAGTGACCTGTACTATTGGGACATGTCTTGGCTCGTAGGTTAACAGGACTCTTGGCTCTCTTATTCCGCTTTTGTTCAGAGATTCCTTTTAGAAACATGCTTCCTACCCACAACCTTTGTGGGCTGCACCCCAGGAGTAAAATATCTTCTTATACTGGGGTGGAGAATCAATGATTCTCCAGATATAATTCAGCACATCTCAGCAGAATGGAGAAAAAAACCAAAACCTTGTCTTCTCTTCATTTTCAGATACTAAGTGCCTGGAACCAATTAAAACTGGAGAATGTCGCAATTATCAAGTCAAGTGGTATTATGCCAAGGATGCTAATTCATGTGCTAGGTTTTGGTATAGTGGCTGTGACGGCAACCAAAATAGGTTTGATACAGAAGAGGAATGCCAAAGGGCTTGTGTCCGTGGCTAAGCAAGTACATCAGGATAATAGTACAGCTTCTATCTTTTTGTTTAAAAAAAAATACTTTTTTTAAAAAAACAACATATATGTGTTTTCCTTTTGTGACTTTGCAAATGATTCTGCCTTATGTAAGTTTTAATAGTTCTAAATACAGTATTATTTTTTGTTTAAAATACTTAGAATGCTCCATTTCTCAGAGTCGTTCAGGACTATTTTATTTGAAGGACAGCATAAAGGAATCAACACAGAGATCCGTATATTTTCTTATTGCCCGAGTGCTCAAATGCAGATCATTTATCTACTCTTCTTACATAAGAATTTTGTACTGTATTATGTTTTTCTCTTACAGAGAACTCATGTTTTTACAATGAAGCCAAATGTTTCTGGAGGTTGCCTAAGAATACGAAAAGAAACTCCAAATGTATTATTACAAGTGCTATTTCTGTATCAAACTGATAGTTGTTCACAGTGAATCCAACAATAGACTTTACAGGGCAGGAATGACTTGGTGTGGCTCTCCATATGTCCTTGGCCTGGAATTCCCATCAGGCTTAGGGAGCGTAGACAATGGTGCAGTATTATAGGAGCTGCAGTTCAAGAACATGTGGAGGGACCCACTGGCCTGCCCTTTTCATAAAGCATGCTGCCTTCATTGCGATTAGCTTGACAAAAAATACTGCTTATACTTCCATGTTTATTCAGCTTTTCTACTGCCTATGGCAGCATTTCAGGTACATTAACATGTCTAAGGATTTTTATACTTACCTTTATTTTAATATTAATCTGGTCTTTTTTATAATTTGGGAATGAAAACATTTTGCAGCATGGAATAGGGTAAATGACACCTCAAACTGGTAGAACCCATCCAAGCACCAAATGTGGTGGGGAGCCTGTTTGATGGGAACTTTGTACATAGATTCCGTAATCACCAGTACTGATACCTAGGTGGGTATACATTCAACCATGTCTAATTTAAATTAGACTGTGCCCCACCAGATGTTACGGGACTGAAATTCTGATCAATCTTATCCAGCACAGGCAAAAGTAAAAATATAAAAAGAAATGATTATCATCACATACTTTGACAGATGTAGTTGGACTACAACTTCCATTTTTTCTTACTATTAGTTCTGCTGTTTAGTGATAATAGGTGCTAAGGTCAAACAACAGCTAATGAGGCATTGTGGTGCATCTGAAATGAAATACATAATTTGCTTCTTCAGTGCATTTACAGGAGCTGAGAACCAGCTGTAGTTGCAGACAATTAGCCACACAGAACAACCACTGGCCCTGGATATGCTCACATCAAGAGAGTTGCCCAGCTTGTCCACTGAGGCTTAGATGCCTTACCTAGGTTGACTACTTGCAAGCAGGACTCTGCGGGCAGATCAAGAGCAGCATTTAGGGATACATGTTAAAGCGTATTCTATACATTCTTCTAACTCAGGGCTCTGGTACAAAAAGAATTATGTTAACAGAAGATAGGGAAATGTCATTGTCAGTTATAAGGGAGCGTAACAAGGAAAAGCACTGAAAGATGTACATAGATGTATTTTTTTCATACTGTTTTCCTTTCAAACTTTCTTACACAAAGGTACTGTACTACCCAAAATTGATGGACAATTATTAAATTGATCATGTGAACAAAACAAGGCATGCATGTTGCCTTTATTTGACAACATTTGTGTAAATCTTATTTGTAAAAGTCAATGTTTACAAAGCCTTCTAGATGTTCAGATGATATTCCCATCATCTTTGGTCAAGACCGCAAATGGGTAGCAATAATGAGAGCTATACTTCAAATATCTGGTGGTCAACAGGTTTAGCAAGGTTGCTCTAATGAGGCAATCTAGGAAATTGTTGTGAATGTCTAGCAGGCAGCATTTTGTGAAGGGATGTTGCAACTGAATGTTTTTCTTTGTTCTGTTTTTTTAAAAATTATTGAACAAAGCAGCATTCTTCTGGATTGTGTAAGTGACAAATGGGAAAAAACTGCAAAATGAGCAAGACAGGTGAGAACCAATCTGGAACAGTGGACAGAGTGTTGGACTAGAACACCTTGCTTCAAATCCCCAACTGGCTATGGCAGGGGTGGGCAATTAATTTCTATAGGGGGGGCACATGAAAAATCTGAACTGTGTTCAGGGGTCGAACCAACTTTACTTAAAAAAATGAAACAGTGATGTTATGTTTTTATTTTAAACTTGTTAATCTTCACAAATACTAAAGAGGTTTTTTTGCAGTATGTTAAAGATAAGCAACTGATCAACTTTAGACAAAAAGCTATAAATGGTTTTGTTGTTCAAAACTGTACGCGGGCCGGACAGCAGCAGCTCGCGGGCCGTATGTGGCCCTCGGGCCGGACTTTGCCCAAGTCTGGGCTATGGGAACTCATGGGGGACGGCAATAGTAAACCACTCCTCAGACATCTCAAAATCCTAGCAGCATTTTCGTAAGTCAGAAATGACATGCCAGCACATAACAAAAAAGATGGGTACTGGGGAGTGTAAGAGTGGGATTATGGTATTTCTTAGACCATGTATAAAAGGGTAGAATCGTAATTACTATTTAATAGACCCTAAGTAAAATAGAGTGATATTGAAAGAAGTAGCTGTGTCAGTTTGTCTCATGGTCTTAGCAAGAGACAAGGGGAAAAAGACAAAATATTGTAGCACTTTAGAGATTAACAGATTTACATATGTCTGTGTGGGCTTTCAATCAAAATCTGTTACTTTCGAAAGTGCTACAGTAGTTTGCTTTCCTTCACTCCTGAAATTCACAAGGTACAGCTGCACATGTTTGTGTTCTGTGCCATCAAGTTAGAACTGACAGAGTGACCCTAACAGGGCTTACAAGTGAGATATTTAAGGAGTGGTTTTTCCACTCGCTCAGTAAGTTTCCATGGCTGAGTGGGGATTTGAACCCTGTTTTCCAGAGTCCTAGTCCGTCACTCTATCCACTACTGCTCATATAATCTTTCACAAAAATAAAGTTAAAGTAATAATAGTTCACCTTCTGATTCCGTGTGGCCATATGGCCAAGGAAATAACATCTAGAAACTGCCAACAAATTTCACAAGTTATTGGGACGCAGTGCTTCATGCCTCAAAAAATCCAATGTACATGTCTAATGCATCCCTGAAAATAAGTCACAACAGAATTAAGAATACATTAAGAGGCACAAGTGGGTTGTTTAATTGTGTAAGTTATTTTTATTTGTACATATCTCATTTAAATTAATTACTAAAACCAGTGAAAGGCACTTCAGAGATGATACAGTATTTCAAAAACATTCATTTGTTGATCATATAAACTAATGTTAACCACTATTTGTGGTCAGAAAGCATTTTCCTGTAATTCCTCATCACTTTGTTTTGACATTATTATACTGCTCAGCAATTTATCCTTTTCAGATGTGTTTCCAGCAAGAATTATATAATATGTTGTGCACAATAAAGTGAAATATTTCCTCAGTTAGTAGGAGACAAAGAAGCTTTACAATCAGCTAAATATGATACTGTTTTAAAATATACAAAGAGCTCAAAGACAGAGCCAGTTTACTTCTTTTCCACAATAAAATCTCATGATAGAAATTCATGATTGCACTTAAATCAAAGGAGAAAAATACTAGGAAAAATAAAAGCAGAACAGAAACAACCTTAGCATATACTACGCATGAAATACTTTGAACACTGCTTAAATGCACTGATGCTGTAAAATATTCTAAGAAAGGTTTTTAAAAGGGAGCTTACTAAGTGATTACAAATTAAACTAATCTCACAATACCCATGGGAATTTTTTGTCAAGCAGACCAGATAAGCGCATTACATTTTATATAAATTATACAAAGGGTATACAAATCAAGATTAAAGTTCATTGGAGCAACTGATGTCAATCCCATGTACACGTTTTTGCACAGTACTACAAAAGGTATCTTGTGCCTTTAGACACAAACATGCTTCTTGGTGATGAAAAATACTCAAGGTTTAAAGGAAACACTAATACACTACTGGTAGAACAAAATCAGGAATGTGGTGAAACTATAAATTGTGTAAAATTTGGCAACCAGATGCTCAGAGTCAACCACTGAGAAATAAAGGTTTAAAGGAAAATTGTATGGGAGAAGTAAACACTTTTTAACTCCAAAGCAGTATTTTTAAAAAACATCCTCTACCTCTTCACAGTAAAGGCACTCTTAGTCTGAAAGGTGTTCAATAGGATTGCACTCCCAATACATAAAGAAACCTCCATGCCCCAGGAATTCCTACTGCAGCCCTCACAAACTGGCAAAGAGCTTTTCTTGAGGGCTAAGGACATGGGAATGGTGTGTCACACAGCAGGGGGAAGGCTATGTCCGGGGAAGAAAATTATAATTTTCTTCCCCAGACATTTTAATTTTAATTTAATTTTAAAAATTTCTTCCTGTAAGGAGTAAAACTGGTGGAAACAGTAACTGCCTTTGGCCAGTGACACGGGGCTTTGTGAAGCGAAGCCAATACTTTCAAAAAAGTCAAATAACAGATACTAACAACACTGCAAGCATGTCGATACAATTTGCAAAATCACTCCAACTAAGAAAACTTTAAATATACAAGCAGGGCTTGCAACAAAATGTTTCAGTTTACTACGACCTCCTGAAGTAGACTTCTCCTACTCATGACTGCAGTCTGCTCTTAACAAAAGCTTTGTAATCCTTTTCTTGAGGACCAAAAGAAAAAGGTAGGGGAAAGGACATCTTTCTTCTTTGTCAAACCACTGAGTCCTTTCAACTGCTGTTGTCAGGTAATAGGAAAGGCCTCTGTCTAAAACCCTGAACTGTTGCCAGTCAGAGCTGACAATATGGAGCTGGAATAGTATGAGCCAGTGTAAAGAAGTTTCTTGATGTACTGGACGTGCAAATTTGCACAACTGAGGTTGCCTGTTCTGAACAAGAACATTTCATACCTTGGCCTTTTTCTCCCTTCTCAATCATACCTCTACAGGGAGGGAAGCTTTTAATTTACAAATAGAAACTCTCACAGCCCTAATATTATCTTGAAAATACATACTATGAGCTCTTAAAGGTATGGGAATGCAAAGTCCCTCTTCTTCTTTACTACTTCCACTTTCTTTGCTGACATCACATTGTTTTAGACCTCAGATATGAGCAAAGGGACTGGTGCTCTTTTTCTGAAGTACTTCAGATGCCTCTAAAATGTCCCCCCTAAGTATGTAAAAGTCACAGCTTTGGGGACATAGCTCCAAACTGACAGGCACCAAACCACAAGATTTTTAAAAAGGACAGTAAGTAATAGCCATCATGATGCCTGAAGGTAAAAAGCCATTAAACAGTTCGTTCTTCTCCCAAATGAGCTGCGCAGCCATTCATTACAACCCTGGCAAATTTATACCAGGTGCTTGAATATATATATTGAGGTAGATAAGGCAGACGGATGCCACTAAAGCTCAAACTAGAAGAAGCAACTAGCAAAAGTTGCAAAATATACTACAGGTGCTTCCAGATGAGGTTTTTATTGCAAGATCACCCCGCTACACTCACTGAATTTCATACAGAGGGAAGGTAGAAAATACTGTCTTCCATTTCTAATTTTCCCATGATTTCCCACACTGCTTCTGTCTCGTTGCTTACAATAGAAAGACTATGAAGGAGGAATGATGGAAATGCTCTACAAGGCATTTTGACTTGTAGTGTTAGAAGCCCTCCATCTCAAAGTACTTTCACTTGACGCAGGGTGTCAAGATGTCACATAAGCCTAAATTTAATCTATGAAAGAGCAAAACGATTTAAAATTTATCTTAGAATGCATCTGTCACAAGTGCTTGGGAATCTGGCATTTCTATTACTGCTTCTGCAATTTGCCCCTCATGATTCAGCCAATAGAAAAATAACACACTGACATAAGTTTAATTCTATAGCAAAGCTTGTGCATTGTTCCATTAACTCTGGTTTCCAGAATATCTCCACAGGCCAATTTTATAGCATAAATAAGAGACTATCTAGCCTACTCTTGTGTGAGGTAAATCCTACTGATGCACAACGACATGTTCATATTGTATGGTGCGCCTCATTAGTTAAGAGGAACAATATGAATAAAACAGTATCATACATGCTTGAATGTCTGAGTGGTAGAAACACATGCAACGGCGAAATAAACAGCTTCCTGAGACACTGGATTATTGTCAATGTCCAAGTTAATTTAAAAAGCACATCACAATCACTTCATTAAGTTGGCAAAGATATCTAACCAGTATACACTATCAAATGTATAACCTTAATTTAAACATCAATATGATGAATTCAAGCCCTGTTTGATCACTTTTAGCAGGACTATTATATGAAGAAGTCTGACTTTCAAGATAAGACACAATTTGGTACACAATAAATGGAGAGGGCATCATTAATATCAAATAATCGCACTACAGTTCTTGTTTCAGCACGAAGTATGGACTTCCTTCTTGTGTTCAAAGATAGCTAAATAAGCAATATAATCAAATATACAGGGAAAGCATGGTTTAACCTAATGAGAAGATGTAAGGATACCGCTCACAAAAAACAGGCATATTTTCAGATAACCTAAGTCATTACAACCATCTAACAATAAATGAAAAGTAGGAAATGTACAAAATACTGGAGAGGCAACAAAGCCTCATATTACCGTTTAACCAATACCCATGCTGATGTAGGTCCAATGTTCTGGTACAGTACTACCTAATTATTAACACAGCAATTCACATTCCAGAGGCAGCATGAGGAAGTTCACTTGTTTAACTTGTCCCTTTAGTGCACACATTGACAACCAGCATCCTGTGAAGCTACACGTAGCCTTTGGCTGCTCTTCAAGTGGACTGCGAAACCTAGGGAGTTCCATCCACTCTCTCCTACAGCTCAGCAACCATTTTATCATGACAAGAGAAACTGTTATCAGGGATTGCCATGGACTGAGAAAGGTTTTCATGTCCCCTGAACCTGTCCCCTACCCCTATGTTTTTCACTGCTGTTTCTTGGTCAGGATCACTGGGGAAGGGGAGGGACTCTTTGGGGATGGGTACATGTAAATGCATGCATGCATGGCCCTGACTCACCACCTGGCATCACAGTTGGGCCTAAAAGGATTGCCTACACCAATCTAGTAAGCCTGTACCCATGCCAATAGTAATGAGCTCAAGATTCCTATGTTTAACTTGACCATCTGCCAGTTTTAATGCTACTCTGACTTCCTCTGCAAAAAGAAATTCATCGGTATGACATGTGGAATTAAAATCCCATAGTTTTGCAAAACAAGATGCAAATCTGAACCTTAGAATCTATCTATGATTACTGACTGACCACTGATTTTTGAAGGACAAAACATTTACCTAACACACATTCATCCTTGAATCTCTATGGCATAAAGTTTTCTCTTAAGTAAACATTCACACTTAAATCTCTTCAGAAAAACATCTGCCAGTTTCTAATGTGCTAAACCTAATTAACTGAAGGTATTGAAGAATGTACATAATAAAAAGGAATAAAATACTGCATAATGTATCAATAAAGACAAAGCATGTGTTTTGATATAAAGTTTGTGTGCATACATGACTGAATCAAAATTAAGGAACGCTTTATGGACTTGGCCTTGCAGTCTCATGGCATTTGAAATATCCTTCATACCAGCACAATTAGAAAAGAACTTGCAGTAGGCAGCTGCTTAAAGGAACACCTTTAAAAATATGTAGGCATCTCTCTAGCAAATCCATGTAGCCACTGTAAGCTAAATGTGTTCACTATTCCATAAGGCCTGTTCAGTGCACTATAAACAATTTTATTCAGAGGCTTTCAGAGGCTTTTCTCCTTCAGCTTTGGATTTTGCATTATCCTTTGCTGCTTCACTTAGATTTTGTTTTCCTTGACCCTTAAGAGAATCAGGATTGTACCTGAATTGGTAACCATAAGGACGGAGATGATAAATCAAATATTCCAAATGATACATGGTGGCAGCATCAACATAGTGAAAAGAAACTGCCAGATCAGAGCAGCAACCAGGACCCTACCAACACAAAAGAAAAAGAGAGAGAGAGAAAGAGAAGAAAAAAACATTATTAAAAGAGAGAAACATCACATGCTGTATTTATTTAAATATTAGCAATGCAAACTTAAACACCACAAAAATGGTTTAGTATTAGGTGCTCTACCTTCTATTTATAAAAACAATAGAAATGTGCTGTGTTTTGAAAAGCAGCTTCAGAAATAATGTCCAAATATAAGATGTTATATAACTATTCTCAAAGTACAGCAGAAAGATGCCAAGACACAAAAGACCTCTGCCTTGAACTCTGAATACCATCTGTTACAAGTACAGTTTTGGATTGTATGAATTACTTACTTGACAGGATAAAAGCTATACTGTAAAAATTAAAATTTTAAAAAATCTTACCTCCACAGGAGGATAGTAGTTATAATTCCAGTACCAAAATGTTCTGGGTAGATACCCTTTGATTAAATGATGCTCTGGCACAAATGGATGAAAAGTTTCTTTGCCACTTGTATCCCTAGAATCACCAGCTTCTACACTGATACTCTCCATGCATTTGCCTAACGCCAAGTCTTCAACAGAAGAGCTATGAGTACATTTGTTGTTTTTAAAAGCATCTACAAATCTCTTCAAAGCTTCTTTGCTGAGAACATAGCCTGCACCTCCACTCATGTAGCCCTGCTTCACGAAAGGCTTAAACTTTCTTCCAAAATAAATAGGCTTCTCAGGGCTGTATTTTGAAAGAAGCCATCTCAAATTGTCCAGTGCAACGTAAGTGTCATCATCTGCCTTCATGAACCAGTCTGCTTCATCGAGATGATGATCATGTACGTAATGAAAAGCTTTAATTGTTTTCCAGTACAACTGGTCTCGGCCTTCTTTGGTTTCCAGTCCCACTGTTGGAAAATCTTTATTCTCTTCGGAGCTCATAAACAGCATTCTGTTGCAGTGCTGGGCCCAGGTAGCCTTGACATGTTTAGCTTTTGTTTCCAGATTTTGAGGGCCAGTCATCACCCAACAAAGGATCCTTACTTTCTGGTACAGTTCTTCAGCAACATGTTTGTCTTCATCTGAAAGGGGGGGGGAGTGGAGTGGAAATTCAACATGTCATCAGTATGATGAATCTTCATACAAGTGGAAAGATACAGATACGTACATGATCAGAAAATCAACTTTCATCTCACAATTACAAGAAAGCCTGATAGAGCAGCCTTTACAGTACAGAAAATACACTATTTGCTTTAGTTTCTAAAGGAGTGCAATTCTATAGACAAGAACTCTAGAATCAGGGATTATTTTAGGTCCCCCAGTGTTTCCAGGATGTTGTGTGTAATCCAAAAAACCAAAAAAAGAAAAAAAGAAAAAAAAAGATTTCAAAATATAAAGTATTAACTAAGGTAAACATAATAAGGACTGTAATTATATGTTAGATGTTTTGGACACCTATTGCCCATATAAAGGTTTTGACTCGAGATGTTTCTTAGACCCATAACCTTCAATTGGATGTTCTGGCTTCTGATTTCCTGCTCCAAGATTTCCTGGATTCATTTTCTTCCCATTAAAAGCTCTGCACAATTCCTTTGATACTGCACAAGAATTGATGCCATGCCTTGCAGGATTTCTTATGTGCACCTAAATAAATATTACCCTTTGCTTTCTGAGTAGGATTAAGTTTAACAGCCCATGCTGCTTGTTTTTTTTATTGCTCTTGTCAGCTACAGGGTTATATAGGTAAGTTTCAAATGGCTAGGTACAATACCCATCCTGGCAAACACAACCATTTGAAACTTAACAAAGCAAGAACGTGAAATTAACCAAGGCAACACAAGCAGGGCAGAACTGTTCCACTTGATTTTGCATTGGAAACTGGGAAGAAGGGCAAAAAGACCACCACTCAGTATTTCTCTCTGCTGCTCCTCTGGGAAATCCTGAAACTTCTGCGGGCATCCTGGTGTGATTCCCCCACTGGGCTAAGTATGAAAAATTGCAGCGATCAAAAAAATTCTGAAAAAACGAACTGCATCCTTACCCTCTATGTTATAACCTTCCATTTGAATTTAGCAAATATAACAATATAATTAGTTCAATTTTGGCTTTTAAAGCTAACCTAAGTTAGACATTACCATCCTGTTAAACTGGTTTAGAAAAATATTTTGTGTTCATAGATACTACTAAACGAATGTTACAGTCTAAGGAAGGGAATCAGATTGTGAACAACAGTATTAATTTTACAATGACAAACGTCAAGCTAAAAAATTAACAAATAGCACTAAGGTGTAATCCTATAAGCACTCACTTTAATCTATGCCCCATGGAAGACAGGGTGTGATCAGGTATGCATTTGCTACACAATCCGGTCTGATCAACTCCTTTCTCTAGCAACCACATGACATACATGCCATCATGAATTAGCTCACCCTTGATCAATGCCTACCTGCAACTTTTTGGCTCTCAATCAGGGCCTACTGTCTTTTTTGGTGCAGGTAGGTGTGCTCTGTTCTGGTCCAATTCATGTGTGAAATCACTTGCATCAAACCAAAGTGGATGCCTGGCTGTCCCTTTGCTGAAGCCACTTAACCATCTTAAGAAATGGGAAGCTGCCTGGCTGCTCATCTGCAGAATGGAAGGGAAAGGAGGCTAACATATCAGTGGTACTTTGAAAGGACTTTTTAAAAAGCCATTTCAAACTATTGCTGATGCACTGTGTCGGTTAGCAGCAATTCCATGAAATAGAAGGCACTGCCTCCCTTTTGTTACTTAGGTAAGTAGAAAGGAAGCTTTCCATTTCTCAAGATCGTTACCTAGCATAGGCAAAGCATGGAGGGGAGACACATGGGATTTTTGTTTGTTCATTTTTTTCCCTTTCAAGAGAAAGGAGATTGTGCTATATGTGCAGTGTGGTTGATGCATGCATGTGGGTTGCCCCAAATGACATCCCACATCTGTTTAACATTGATCCAGGTTGGAATAATTGGGCCATCTAATCACACCCTTAATAGGAGTTACTTTTCAGTAGACATAAACAGGACTGTAGTGTAAGGCAATGATACTGCACTGCTAACTTCTTAAATGTTAAAGCAAATTGTTTTCTCAATTCCTTACATATGAATTCACAATATTTTATTGTGATGAAACAATCTAAAACAGTTCCATGAACAATCTTACATCATATGCAGGGGAAAATACGGGGAATCCAAGTACAATATATAATAGCAGAGGACTATGAAAAAAGCTTGTGGGGGAAGAACCCTGCTACAAACAGCATATAATCATACCTTGATGTTGCCCAGTATCTGCATTGAAATTCATTTGTCCTTTCAGTGGATTACTTTCATCATCATGTGAGTGATGGCCATGAGGATCATTGTAGAGGATGTGAGGTTCAATTTTAATTTGTTCTTCCAATACTAAACTAAAGAGCAGGTAACACAAGAAAAAGCCAATTGCTGATCCAAAACTAAAGGTCAGCAGATTCATTAAGGATTTAGGAAAGGCCATTTCCCGAACGGCTCCTCTTCTGAAAGATAAAATGAATCATTCTATCTTAAATGACAGGGAACACACACCAAAAATGCAGAATAAAGCTTAGTGACCATATCAAAGTTCTCATTCTTCCATATCACTCTTTTGTGGTTGTACAGTATGCCTTAGTGAAGATATCCCCTAAACATTTGAAGACATCTGAGATTTTTGTTTTAAAAAATAGCAAAATATAAATCTTGGCCATTATATAAGAAATCCTAACTATACGGGAATGACTCATGAGGAAACACCAAATACTAGTTGATGACTGGGGGTTAAAATATTTTACATGGTACAAGGTTAGATAATTCTACACACTAAGGCTAGATAATTCTAAACACTAAGTCTATTTGCATGACTTGGAGTAGAAAACAGTTTTGTAAAAAAAGGCTTTGAAACAAGATGAGACAAAAGTCTAAACAAATAAATATCATAATTTATTTTGTTAAAGTACCATCCATTATGACCACAAGGACATAAAAAGTGAGTATTGCCAATCTATTCTGATAAAAATTCACATCAATGTAGCATGTGTCTTGAAACATCATGCTTAAGTATGGCATAACTGAAGGCTATCATTTGTCAAACACACACACACACACACACTTATGGGTAGGATGGAATGTTCAGCTACATAAAGAAAACTGCAGCTAACTATCAGTTTACAAAAGCTAAGCTGAATATAACAATGGCATCATGCAGTCAGTTGTTCTATGACACATCCTTAATTAATTGCATACTATTATCAATTCTCACAATTATTTAGAAAGCAAATAAAAATGTTGCTTTTCAAAGATGCATTTCGGGACACCCTCCCTTTATAACTATTTTACTTGTGTTCATATGTTGATTGTGCTTTTGGGTTTGTCATTGCCATCTTGCTGTCATACTATTGTGTGTCAGGAGGGTGGGTGGAATAGGTAGGTAGGTAGAGAAAGAAAGAAAAGGAAGGAAGGAAGGAAGGAAGGAAGAGACAGAGAGAGAGAAAGGAAGAGAAGGAAGGAAGGAATTAAGGAAGGAAGGAAGGAAGGAAGGAAGGAAGGAAGGAAGGAATAGTGAAGTTGGACGCAGCCTCTAAGGCCATTGAGTCCTACCCCTTTACTATACAGAAATACTATACAAATCAAAGCAAATTTGCCAGGTGGTTGCCTAAATTTCTCTTGAATGCCTCCAGCGTTGGAGCCCTCACCACTTCCATCCCCCTGATCATCCTTGTCGCCCTCCTCTACACTTGCTCCAGTTTGTCGGCGTCCTTCTTGAATTGTGGTCTCCCGAAATGGACACAAGACTCAAGGCGAAGCCTAACCAGGAAATTGACGTGAAATAACTCCCATGTTTCCGTGGTTTGTGTGTATTTTTCTATGTGTATGGAGAACTTTAGAAAACTGCCCCCTTTCCCAACCACCGGGCAACCCTTCAAAAATTCCTAGAGCTGGGGGTTGGCTGTCCTTCTATCCAATCCATTTGGATCTGAAATCCAATCCAGTTGAGAGGCCAGAGTGGATAGTGACCCTGGAGCAACCCGGGGTCTTCATGCGGGTGCCGAATCGACAACATGAATCGACAACGACAAGAAGCAAATCAAGCTGATGCCAAGCCGGACGGTTCTGATTCGGCTTGCCAGTGTAGCTGCACCTTAGAGTTGGTGACCTGGTGGAGAATCTGTAGGTTGGGAGGTTCGATTCCCCGCTGTGGATCCAAGGAGAACAGCCTTGCTTGATCCAAGCAGTTTTCTCTGATTCCAGTAAAAATCCAGGGAGGGGGTGGCAAAGAAACAGGTCAACAGATCCCCATAGGTGTTTTTGAGATGGAGTAAGATCCTTTATCTTACTCCATGGTTGGACAGTGTCATCGAAGCAACCAACATGAATTTGACACAACTCCGGGAGGCAGTGGAAGATAGGAGGGCCTGGCGTGCTCTGGTCCATGGGATCACGAAGAGTTGGACATGATTAAATGACGACGAAGATCCTTTATCAGCCTCTTTTCTTCTTTTTCATTCAAACCACATATGAACAATACTGTCCCACAGGGCTGTCACTGACTACAGGTTGGATCCAGACTTAATTATACAAAGGGATTAAGATTTACACCAACCTGGCCCAATGTGGGGCCTCCAATGTGCTAGATTATAACCCCAGTGAACCCCTACACCACATGGCTAATGGGGATCATGGGAATTGTAGTAAAGAAACAACTAGGTATTTGCTTTCTATGTGGGGCTTCAGTCAAGGCTGATCCAGAGATTACAGCAGGTCCAGAATGCGGCAGCCAGACCGGGGGTTAGTGGAAGCAAGGGTAACTGTACGCCTCCACTGGTTGGTTACCTGTTGTGTCTTGGATCAGGTGCAAGGTTTTGACATTCACGTACAAAGCTCTCTATGTTTCGGGCCCACATTACTTGTCAGAGTGTTTTCCCCCAATGTCATATACCCAACCCACTAGATTATCACAGGCGAGGCTCTTTCAGGTGGCCACCCCAAGGGAGGCCCATAAGCCATCTACTAGACGTAGGGCCTTCCTTGCAGTGGCCCCAACCTTGCAGAACCAGCTTCTGGAGGAGCTTCGCCTCCCTGGGGACATTCAGGAGGCAACTGAAGACGTGGCTTTCCAGGAAGGCTTCCCACGACAACCCTAGCCTTTTGTCCACCACTTTTTGTTCTCCTCCTTTAGCACCCGGTTCGCTGCTACACTGGTTTCAAGTAGATTTAGTTTTTTCGTGTTTTGTTTATTATTGCAAGAGGTCCGAGTAGGGGAGCGGTATACAAATTTAAGTAATAAATCAATTAATCGTGAGCATCAGGTTAGAGACAAACCAACCTAATGGAGTGAATGGATATTTCACAAAAGCGTCTTACTATAAATTTAAAACGGGATCCTTTTATCTTGGCAAAGCGTTTTCACGTACCAGAGTGAGCTTTTGTAGAATCGCCCATCTACACCTTTCGCGGTTTACAGCAGCACGAAACTGCTCCAGGGGCATCTGAACTGCTCACACCCAGCAAAGTCCCACGGATCTGAATGTATCTTAAGTATAACGAGTAAGCTTCGATGCGACCCAAGCATTTCATTTTCAGCTCAAGCCTTGAAGGTCGGACGGACCTTCTGATATTAGCAATAACTTATATTAGCAGTAAATTCTTATACTAGCAGTCAGGAAGCCTCCTACTCGTCCTCGAAGCCGGCGTCCGGTTCCTCCCCGGGACAACAATCCCTCAGGCCCAGCCTACCTAAGTCTTTGGCAGCTCAGCTTCTTCGCTTACCTTGGCCCGGTCTCGTGTCAGGAAGGCTACGTAGTGGGAGTGGGAGCGGCCGCCAGGCGTCTCTCAGCCGCGCCTCAGCCGCGACAAGGTGGCCGGGGGAGGTGCAAGCGGCGTCCGAAACCGCGGCCCTGTCACTGCCATGGCCGGCGCCTCGCCTTAAAAGCAGGCTGCCTTCGACGCAGTGCCCGGCCAGCCCTCGGGCCGCCCGGCCTGAAAGCGAAAGACAGGCCGGCCCACCTCCAAGCCTCTCATTGGGCCCAAGGCGGCCGCCAGCCGCGGCCGTCGCTTCCCGCCCACCTGATGACAGAGAGGGAGGAGGAGCGGTGGCGGAGGCCGCCGTTATGTCTCTCCTCAGGCGGAGAGAGAGAGAGAGCGAGAGCCCGAATCTCTCTCATGAGATCCCCCCCCCCC